ATAAGAGTAAGGCTCCCTGGCTCTGAGACCATCAGAGTGTGAGAGAAAGCTCCCAGCACCTTCCCACACTGTGGAACATACAATGGCACTCCATTCCTTGCGGTAGTACACTCCCCACGTTAGCTGGATTCATTTAAATAACTTCAATAAATGTGTGCATTTAAAAGCAAATTCCTTTCCAGAAAAGCATACTTAAAAAAACCCAACAACAAAAAACAACCCCAAACAAACAAACAAAAAACCCCCACCAAAAAAACAGAAACCAAAAAAGGAGAAAGCAATCTTTTCCAGTGCGTCTACTGGCAGTGCCCTGTGGGGCCTGGCAAGTGGGAAGATGTATATTTGCCATTTCATTAATCCATTTGACTTTCTTCGCTAACCTCAGTTTCATAGACTAAAAGCAATAATCACAAGGAGCACTTCAGTGCACTGAGACCAACCAAGTGGCAGGCTGGAGACTTTCTTCCCTGCTCCTCAATCTCTAGGGACAACCTAGGATCAAACTACATCTCACCCTGACTTCTAGCAAGCTTGTCTGCTGGGTTCACACCAGTTGGGTTGCTAATACTGTTCCCCCCTCGCTATCTGGGAACCTACGTGTTCTCTGAGCAATGACTGCATTTTGAATTACCTACTTACTGCACAATGGGTTTGTAAGGAGGGTTTAGCTTGAGGACTCCCCAAATTCTGGGTTTTCAGATAAAAACCAGCTATCCTACAGTTGGAAGTAGCAAGGGATTTCAGAAACACTTGCATCAATATCTCAGAGTCCTCTAGCCTTCTCATACCCTATAGATGCAACTTCAAGTTAGTGGCACTAACCCAGAAGAGTTTCAGCTGAGATGCCTGAGAAGACAGCTGATTTCTAAAGAGGCTCTGGGAGAGAAAAGATACCAACAGATCTTAAGATAAAAATCCATATAATCACTGTTAATAATTAAAAACCACAATCACAATAACAACTTGTTCTTCAGACAGAATTGGCAAGCATCATTTTGTTTATCATTAAAACAAACTTTGTGGCTTATTACATCCCACTTGCTTTCTTTTTTTTTTTTTTTAAATCTGCAACAGGCTTATATTAAAAATCCACAACTTACTTTTCAATATTAACAAGCAAACAGTATTCTTGATGCCAACAGTTTTTTCCAACAGCACTGACTGAAACAATTATGTATAAATATAAAGCATGCTTAGCCCAGTGAAGCAGAGCAACAGTGAATAAAGACTATGGCTTATTCATTTGCTTCAAACCTAGAGCAATAGTACTCTGCAAAACTAGTAAGCCTGAACTCTTGTTTGCATTTCAGAACAAGAGCTGTGAAGTTGCATTGTAGATAAGGGGACAGTGAGGTTTGGGAACACAGTGTACATATAAATCTCAACTTGATAGTTAAAAAAAAAATCCACCAACCAACATTAAAAGAGTGTAAGCAATAAAATTTGTGACAATTTAAGACAACAGAATGTCTTCAATCACTCCACTTCCAGTATACAGCAGCTAAAACACCAAGGGCTTTAAGGCAAATTCTGACTCGGTAGGGATATTATCACAAGACATGTCAACCGCTTCTAATACTGCAACAGCTGGACAATCTTTCAACTGGGAATCTCCTCTCTCCCCCAAAAGAAAAACACCCTTTCCTATCATTTTAAAAAAGCTACTGTGAGGGAGAACAAGTACCAACATTTGCTGTGTTTTTTTCAGCACAGATGAATTTTCGGAATGCCTACTTTTATATGTAGTATGAAATACGTATTCCCTGGTAAGTAGGAAAAAAATACAGGTAGCTGTACATACCTTTCAACATTCAGACAGTTCAGTGACAGAAGTTCACAGCTGCAGAGTATCTACAGCAACAGAACTTAAAGTTTCAGTAGACAGTAAAGCAAGTGAAAGCGTAGCTACCAGGAAAAAAAAGTGCATCTTCACCTCTGTAAACCTTCACATGCTACCAGCAATTTGGTTCCTGAGATGGAGATTTTTCACTTATGCTATGTACTGAGCAGGACTAAACATCTTATTCAGAAATGCAATAAATTACATTATTTTAACAACTGAAAGAATCATAGAATCATTAAGGTTGGAAAAGACCTCTAAGATCATTGAGTCCAACCATCGACCCAACACCACCATGCCCACTAAACCATGTCCCTAAGCACCGCATCTACACGTCTTTTAAATACTTCCAGGGATGGTGACTCAACCACTTCCCCGGGCAGCCTGTTCCAATGTAACTGCATAAGCAAAAGTAGGAATTCTTGTTTTTTTCCCAATCCATTCCTGACCGTACCTGCCAAGTCAGTGCATATGTCAGCATCTCATTACTATGACCTAGCTGCTTCTAAGTCTACTCAGAGGATAGCTGAAAAGTTGGCATTTTCTTCTGTCTTTGACATACCTCTTGTTTTGAAATACAGCATTCATGAGCATGTTAAATTAGCACCTAAAATGATTTATTAAGAGGAACAGCTAGCACCAAGACCTGCTTATAACTTTATTAATTATTAAATTATAAATTTTCCTAGACTGCCTTGCTAACCAAATTTTAATCGAAAATTGTACCAGGAAGGGTAGGTATATAAATGCCAATGCATTTTGTTCACAACATCCAAGCACATGGTTATTTTGGAGCCTTAAATACTTCTGGGCTTGATTCACTGGTGCTGTGCCCTGTGTGCGGCTGCAATTTAGCAACTGAGAATTTGGTATAAAAGCCAACAGTACCAAATCAGAACAGCAGAGATTTTGTACTTGCTTTGCAGTGGTTTGAAAGAACATGGGCGAACAAAAAAAGACTTTTGGTTTATCCAGTCCAGTTTTACCTCGTACAACCCCCAAAAGATCTGAAAATGGGTTTACGAAATTGGATTAAAAAGAAAAAAAAAGTCAAATAACAACTTGTGTTCCCAGGAATGACTGAGCCTCCCTTACTTTGCACATGCTTTCATACTGGGATTCACTAATAATGTCAAAAAGATACAGTGTTCCCTTCTTGCTAGATATTTGTGTATTTACTCACTACAGAAAAGCAGACTTAAGAGTAGCAGTCGAGCTGGCTCAAAGCTTTTTGGCAGCACAAGTAAAACTCACATTTTCCCACCCTAAAGAGGAGAAGCTGGGACGGTGTTTCCTAGGGCTGAAAGGAGCATGGCTTGGGAGAGCACTCCAGGGTCAGGATCGTGCTTTTGCTGCTGTTGGGAGGCAGAAGATAACCGATGGGGCACTGCTCTTCCTAACCCTCAGCAGTAACTGCCACCTCACACAGCCCTTCCCACTGGGCGCAGCAATGGGAGCAGCAGCAGCTTCCAGCTACTCACTCCCTGGGTGATGCCACCTGTGCTGGATGAAGATAAAGCTGGAGGACATCAGCAGTGGCAGAGGGAAGGTCAGCGCCAAGGGGCAGGAGTTCATGAGGCACTGGCTCTGATCCACTGCAACAGTGTCATATAACCTTCCTAATAATTCATTTTTTTTCCTCCAGAAGTTCACAGACCTTCCTGTGCCGTCTTGGCAAGATCAAAGCAATGGAGGCAGAGCAGACTATCACTCACTGACAGAATAGGACCAGCTCTCAGAAGAACGAGACACTTAATCAGTTTTGCACCACTCCAGGTATATGCCATTTCTCCAGATCTTCCTGATGCAGAATCTCAGAAAACAGGAGAGTTTTATTTGGTCACCTGAACTCTTTCACTCTTGCACGTTCAGGCCCACATTAGCGAGAAAAATGTTAACAGTTTATTAACTTCCAGCAAGACTCTTCAGCTGTTCCTAAAACTGCAGCAACAAGAGAACATTAAACAGACAATGAACATTGCCCATCACATTATTTATAAGTGCTTTCTAATCCCTGACAGAATTAGCTATATGTAGATGGACAAAATATAATCAACTATCTCCTGTACACTTTCCGATATTTAAAAAGGAAAAATTGTAAAAATTCATTAAAATAAAGACATTAATTATCTGTCCATGTTCATCACCTGACTTATGCTGAAATTCCACTTGCTATCTGGAGACCTATACTGACATTCACAGAACGTTTAATCCAGTATTCCTCTCCAGACTTTGTTCATAAGCTCTTGGAATCACTGCCTGCTTTGTTTGTGAAGCAGACCTGCTGGGTTCATTCATCTTCCATTATGCCAAATTTTTTGTTTTTCCAGAATGAAATTGGAATTATATAAAAATACAACAGCCCGCATAATCCATCTTGTATTTTTCAGTTGTTTTTCAAAGAGGAAGGGATTTAGAAATGTGGTTTAAAACATTTCGTTTGAACAAGACCATCCATAAATATAATCCTGAGGTACTCTGCAATTCAGTTACCACTGAAATTAAAAATCACAGTTTTATACTCAGTATGGAAACATTCATCTTTTTGAATACAGAAAGCCTGCTGATTCCACAGTTCTGGGACACATACATTAAATCATTCAGATCAGGGATCGTGCTGCTGTCTACCCATTTGTTACATTCTCACATGAGCTGCAGTGGAAAGAACAACTGGAAGGTCACAGTTACTAGGAAAGATGATTAAGGTTGAGCAGAGTAGAAAGAGGACAGGAATCAGGCTGAATTTATTACATCAGGGCTTTCTTTGCTCGGGGGGTAACAAAAAACTTCTAAGTCAAGTCACACGCAGTACCGTTCCTACCTAGAATGCATCCCTTTGATGGGCAGCTCACAAACTCATATTCACTCACATGAGTCAAAGACTGAAGAACTACAGTGTGGCCTCCGTAGGTACATAAAAACAACACATTCTGAAAACTGCATTTTGGATTGAAAATAGCCTTCTATTTACAAGAAAAACATTAAGTTTCTTATGAAAGCTAGTCTGTTTCTAACACACAGAGTTAACCAGTTCCTGAAGCATTATAGCCAGGCCAATCCTCCACAAGAGGAGGTAGTAATTTTTTAGGAAAGTTCCTGCAGACCAGTGGTTACTTGGCTCCAAGGGCAGAGGAAGACCAGTAGAACCATATCACTTTACCTTTGTAATTCACTAAGTGCTCTGTTTGTGGATGGGCTAGGGTTTAGCCTCAGGAAATTCTGCTTTAAATTGAGATGAGTGAGGTCTTGGCTGTAAAACAAGTTGGCAGGCAGGTGCTCCAGGCTGCAGCATGAAAGATCCACTGAGCTTATGCGTTGTGATGCAACCTGGAAGTCAAGAGGTACACCAATATGTTAATACTGTAATAAAACAAGAACATTTCCTTCACCCCTACTAGCACAAGATAAACTGTTTTTAAGCACAGCAGAAGTCAGCGTCAGCATATATAGCTGATCTAACACAGTTTACATCATTGCTGCAAGTTATGCCACGATCTCTTGCTTTGCCTCAGTGCTAAAACCAGGTCCACAGATGGCTAGCAGGGGGAAATGCACAAAGGTTTGTGAAACTACTAAGTGAAATGGACTCATTTTCATCAATGAAGTTATGCGATACTCTACAACCAGAAAAAAAGATAAGAGATTTGACATAAACTTTAGTTTAGTCCTTTAGTTAGCAAGTAACAGCAGCAAAAACATAGCTCAGAAGTCTTCTATATTGCTGCATGACTGGTCAGTATACACATGTGAGTGGAGGCGAGGGCATAAGAGTCATCACCCTATCTTAGTTTCAAGGGTCAAAAGCAGGTATTAAATGGCAGAAGAAAGAGTTATCCCATTTATATCTTACTGGAGAAAAAATATCACAGCAGCAGCAGCAAAGCACCGAGCACTCCTCTCTTCTCAATGAATTAGAAAACTGTCGAAGAGTGATAAAAATGTGACAAAAACAAAACTGAGATTTGGGGGTTTAACATTGTTTTCTAGAAAGGGGAAGGTAAAACAAACACAGTCTATAGAGGCTAAAGAAATACCACCTGGCACTACATATAGCTAGCGTCATTCCACAGAGACCTATAGTCAACAAATTCAAGTAACAGCAACTCTAGCCTTTATCCAATCTGTAGGATACAGCTGGGTGAACTACATCCTGCTGCTTTACTTATTTACTAGTCTTTATTTAAAAAAAAAAACCAACCCAAACCAACACTGCAATGTAGAATTCTTCTATTTTCTGTCCAATAGTATTAAAAATATCCTTTCATAAAGTAGAGTCATGGAGCTAGCTACATGACAAAGCACCACCACAGAGTAGTACGAGGCAGTGAGGATGGTGGGCAAGGAGGAGGGATCAAATGCTAGAAGGATGACAGGTGTTGTTGGAGCAGGCATGGCTTAGATGAAAGGAGGAGAAACAAACAACTTCACCACTATTTTAGACTTCTGGGACTGCACAAACAGTGCTCAAATGGTTACATGTTCTGTCAGCTGCTCACTGCAAGAGAAGCTATCATTTCGTCATTGGCACTTTTACTGGCCTCACATACTAGGATTCTGGAAGTACAAACACCACATCTAAGGGACAAAAAGAGAAAAAACCCAACAACTCATAATCAGTGCCCAGTGACAGTCTGTAAGAGCTTCTGAACTGATGAAGGAGACACCACCCAACCTTCTGGGCAGAGACACAGCCCTTGCCATAAAGTACCCTGAACCTAGAGACATCATGTTTTGCTGGTGTAAGCGAAGTAGCTTGCAACTTGAAAGGAAGGCCAAGGAGTTTTTTCTTCCTTTTTTTCCTCTCCAGTGCAAGCTACACAGGCCTCAGGATAAGTGATCTCTATTATAAACACACAGCCATAAGCTTCAAGAGGAACAGACGGTGCACTGTTTTTCTCTAATGCGACCGTTAATAATCCAGTCCTCCCACATCCATTAAAATGCTCAAATTTTTGTTACTCAATTAGTTCAGTCCTTTTGTTACTGTAGCTACTATTTTTCTCCCCCTTGTAGTATTAGACAAAAATTATTCATAGGCTATTCTAAGCAGTCATTTCTGAAAGCCAGGTATTCAGTCTATTTATGGTGCCAGAACCTGCCCAGTACAGTACAGTTCTCATCACACTGAAAACACAAGAGATGAAAAAGCGCTGACACCTGTTAAATTAAAAACGAGAATGTGTAATTTCAGGTGTAATACTTACACACACTGGTGCTTCAACTACTTGTTTGGAACGTGATATGAACAGTAATATGCAACCCAGCAGCGCTTAGCAAGGCACGTCACGCTAAAAATATCTAAAGTACCAGAACCGGTAACACTGAGTGCGAACCATGATAAAAGTAACTAACAAATCCAAATTCTACTCTCGTCTAAAAAAAGGATGCAAATCCTTTCTTAATATCATCAAGCCCTGTGAAAAAATCTAGTTAAAAGTAATTTTGTTTATACAAGTTGTATGTTCAGGTTATTTTTTGTTTGCTTGTTTTTTTTAAAGGAATCACTTTGTTATATGAAGAATTTCATGCAATTGACATATACTCAATAATGCCTCTACCACAGCAATAATTGTAAAAGTTAAAACCACATTTTAAAAGGTGTTAGTTCTAGAATCAGCTATAGTTTTATTGAAGTCTTTATGTTAGCAAAAGAGTACTCTTAGAATTAACTTCTGAATTGTTACAAGGAATACCCATATAAACAAACGCAGTTATTCTCCCAGGCAGGGATAAAGACTTTTCTCTTTTCATTGCTCAATACTGTTCTGTAACAAATTCCTAGAGAATAGAGGAACAAGATGAAAAACAAAGAGTGACAAAGGAAAACAACATCTTAACAATACTTTCTTTGGTTCACCAGAAACTTTCATCAGTTGTTTTGAAGTTGAGTATTGAAATTCTGAAATGACATTGTTCCCAAATTGAACAATAAAGGGATATTTCAATCTTGCAATCATCTTCAATTGACTTAAATGCAGTAAGACTCTGCATGTGTGTGTTTGCTATTGTTTATTAAGAGCAAAGCCTTTTTCTAAACGATGATACAGGTTTTAATAAAGCATTGCGTTTCCTTGACTCACCATGGAGAATCACTGCAGAGATACACTGATAAAGGATAAGAAAACACTGACTAGAATATCTCTTATAGTCAAAGAATAAAAAGCATCTGAAAGAAGGGACATTATCTGCAGAAATAGGGTTTCCACTAGAATAAAAAAACAAACAAACAAACAAAAAAACCCCCAAGACATTCCACTGTAAATAAATACCCCAACAAGTTATCAGGGCTGGGTTCAACAGACCTGTGCTCCAATAAAAATACGGAAGAGTCAGTGTGGTAGCAATGCTAGCGGGAAGGTCTTTCTAGATATATGTGGAACGCACATCAAGTGCTCATTATGGCTTATTTGGTGTTTTCTTTTGGAAAACTTAAAAGTATAACTGTTTTATATGCTTTATTTACATGTATAAAACCAAAAAACACAATCAGCACAGTTCATGACTCCCCAGGCAGAAGAAGCCATTGTCATGAGCAACCCCTCTAGAATGTCTTCTCTTCATGTCCTGAACTGCATGCATCCTTAACGTTTGTTTTCACATGAAACCCCTGTTGCATTTCCAGTACTAATAACATGGAGGTAATGACTGGGGTAATGACCTTCTTGGAAGATGGTGAGTGACACCCTCTCAGTTATGGCTACAGCATAAGCTGTAGAGTCAACGCCTGTCTTTGCCAGAGAAGCAGGACACGTAACACTTGGGCAGCAGTGTAGCTTAAACACTTAGCAAGATCTTGTACTTTTTGAAGTACTTTTCAGCTGGGATTTTTAATCATCACAAAGAAACAAGATGAAACACGTGGCTTTCTTCATTCCCTAAATATGACTTTTAAACACTTTATGGCCAATCATTGTATTACAATGTCTCCCATTGTAATACTAGAGGAGTAGAAACAGGATAAGGCCAAACGCAACTTTGAACATCAAACCACAACATCCAATGGAAGACTCTTTTCCTCCAGTTCCTGTTGCAATATCAGTTACACAGTCCTGGCCTACAGTGTTTTAAGTTTGGGGTTTGTTGGTTTTTTTTCCAGTCTCCATGTGAGTATGGCATACTGAAGTGCAGTTTTGAAGAAGTAATATACAACTATAGCACATCTACTACAAAGAACCCTGGATCTACCCACTGCAAACACCAGGAAGCTGTCATCGTGCTTTTAATTTTCCCCCGGCAGCAATGAAATGCAGCTTTATTCCGTGAACACTACCACAAATAATGCTGCCGGAGAGCTCTCTCCCTCCTTTGGGCAGTATGCCTTCTGCCACTCCCTACCTAAGACCTGCACATGTGGCAAAGAACTAGGAGTCTCCCAAATATGAAAACTCATTTTTAAACACGTTACTTGTGCCAGAATAGTACTTAAAAGTATAAACAATGATTCACAAAAGCCAGCAGTACCTTAAAGAAAAAAGATTTCATCAAGGTATTCGATTTTTTTTTTTTTTTAATTTTTTTCTTTTTTAACAATATTTCAAGACTGATGAAAGTATGGTATGGGTTCACGGTATATCTTTAGCAGCTGGCAATAGAAATACAGAAAAATACTCATATCCACCAATATTCTTGCCTCTTCTTGCCACACAGGGCTAAAAAACCACTTTGCTTTGTCCATCAGTATAATGCCACCTCTGTCACTGAGCTATGCAACAAGACTGATTACCGTCTTTGTTTTAAAGCCTTGGCTATACTACAAAAATGATCTGTTGCTGACAATGGATGTCAGCAACGGACACAGCTGAACCCAGCTGTACGGACAAACACGAGCCTTGTTTACACAAGGACATCTTTTGGTGTGACCTGTGGTGTGAATTTAAACCAACGTAATTATGTCTTTTTCCTGTTTACCCTCATCCCATTCCCTATAGCTCTACTCAGATAAGAAATTACTATTTAGGACTTCAACAGAAGACAATTACAATAACTAAACAGCCCACACGGTAAAGGCAGCCAAATTCCCAGTCTGTTTGAACTGAGTCGATGATGTTAAATTACACCTGCTGTAGACACGCTAACGCAAAGGCAGCTTAATTTTTCTCCTTTAGGATTTGTTTCTAAACAGTTTGATAATCATCACATCCCACCAATGCATGCATAAGGCTTAACTAAACAGTGATACGTATGCTTGAAATACCTAAACTAACCACTTTAGCGCAGACAGGTTCTCCTCAAAACTAACCTTGCTTCAAATCCTAATCCTCCTTTCTATTCGAACATCAAAGCCCCGCTCGGCAGAGGCCTCCCTCCGCTGAGCTGAACTCCACAGC